AACGGATGCAACGTTTAAACTAACATTGTTAGACGGTGTTGGCATCAGGTTTGTTGCTCGCATCAGGTTTAAATGATTTTCAAAAACGTACTAATATTTCATAAAGAAAGACTAAAGAAATTGTTGTTTAATGAGTGTATTTATATCTGATAAGAACACAGCAAAACTTTGCATCCAATTTTTTTTTTGGTCAATTGAGCGAAGCGAAATCGCCCCAGGGACGAGCGAAGCGACGTCAGTATTAGAATACACAACACAAAAACTAATACAGGGCACTTATTTAGTGAAAAAAGCGCTCAAAATAAGCACTAATTTCAAGAGTAGTAAAAATAATTAGATCAAATTTTGAATTAGCAGCCTTACTTGAGGCGACACCGCAGCGGCGTAAGGCGCGAGGAGGGGATGACCTCAGGGCTGCGAGGAGCGAAGTGACGATGGTCGGGCCGCCCTCAACCGTTGTAACACATACAATGAAAACAAATACTGTTTACACTATCCGCTTTCATTTGATGTGGCGGAGCCTGTAATCATTTCTTTAAACGACCCGTTCCAGTATACCAGCTCCTGGTATACCCTCTGATTGAACAGATTTGACAGATTATATCTCAAAGCTGGTCGTTCCTATCACTCAGAAAGATGGCGTTCTGCGTCCACGCGCGTGAAATAGAGGAATCCACGATAACTTCTGCGTTTAACGAATGTTTACTAGATTTCTCAACATAGGAGTGCTGAGGAAGGAACAGAAGACCTGCCTTGTGAAATTGGCGCGTGGAAAAGATATTTTTGTGATCCTGCCGACCGACTTCGGTCTGGCCCGAACAAAGTGGCAATAATAGAACAGTCGTAAGAAGGAGTTATCTACGTGCTCCAGTCCAGACTCCCATTATCTTTAGATCTCTTTAGAAGAACAAGCTGGAGTTTAAAACTCACTGCTTAACTGAGTAATCTTGACTGACTCACATGTTTCAAGTAGCTTCAGTTTAAGCTGCAATCAATTCTTCGAAATTTGGATCTGTGAATCACTATCCGTGAGAATTTAACATCCTACAAAAACAGTAACGAGCTGGGCCCAGCGTGACAAAACTCATTGTAGGAGACCATCACATTCAAGGACAAAACAAAATCGCTTTCAGTTGTTCAGTTACATTTTTGTACTCCAGATTGCTCACACTCGCATAAGTCGCATAAGGGATTAGCGCTGCGCGAAATAATCTCGCGAGAAATTTGAGAAAGATTCCAAGTCATTGACATCACAGTTTGACAGCCGAAATCTAATTATCTCAAATGTGCCAAACGTGGGTGGAAGTGGGTCGTAAAAGAAACGATTGCAGGTTCTCTCTCCTTTCCTTTTCCCGCCCCGCCAACTTTCTTTCTAACCTGTTCACAGACCCTCTATTTTCTCTTCAAAATCTGTCGAGCGCGTGTGATAAAATATATACCGCAGGGGAATTATTGACCGCTCGCCGATGTTTTCGAAAAGAACGAAAAGAAAAACAAAACAACGTCTGCGTACAGGGAACAGGCTAATAGAGGCAAAACCCTGTCACCAGACGGGTGTCTTGAAAACAAATAAAAGACTCCTAAGATCCTGAACCCCCTAAGACCCCCCACCGAATGACTCTAAACTTTTTTGATTAGGATTAGGAAACTGAGTTAATCAACTTTCAGGTCAGTCTGTCCAGTATAATGACTTAAATGGAACCTGATTCACTCAGTTTCCTAACCCTAATCAATGAACTTCAGAGTCATTCGATGAGGGATCTTAAGGGGGGGCTTAGGGGTCTTTGTTTTAAAGACACCCTCACCAGACGGTCTGAACCGACGGAATGAACTTTGAACTGTTTCTATTTTCATTGTATAATCATTTACCTGTATATTATTACTTCGGCGGAGCGCGAAGTAAAGGATTCGCGACGCTCAGGAATGTATCAAAGTTGCATTTTTTTGACAGGATTGGGCAAGCAAAGTCTGTAGGTTTTCGGTTCTATTCGGCTATTTGACGAAGTGAGAGCCGAATTAGTTCGAGATATCTCGAGATCACTTCGATTTCTTTGATTTATTCTTTAACTTTTTGGAAGAAGAAAGAATTATTATTTTGGCTTTCTGGGAGAGAAAGTTGAGGGATTAGCCGATTGCGCTACTGCGACCCAAGGTAGTTTGGGAAATGAAAAATAGTTATGAAATGAGGCACTAGTTTCGGGACAAGATTGGGCGTGCAAGTTCGTGACTTTTCCGCTTGTTTCAACTATTTCACGAAATGAGACCGGACTACTTCTTCGCGATATCTTGAGATCACTTCGAGTTTAGTCTTTAATTACTCGAGGAATAAATAGAGGATATTTCGTGGCTGCGCAGAGACACGAAATTTCTCTTCGAGTGTTGAAAAACATTTCACGAGTGAGCCCTCCTTTCGAACTGTTTTATGATGAATTTAAAGTTTCAAAATGCTGCACAAAGACATTTTGTCTTTGTTGAGTGTTACGTAGTAAAATTGCTTTCATGCGTTGCGTGACTTTCTCGAACGTTCTCTACGTTTTTGGATTACCATGAATAATTAATGAGGGCATGTTTACATTTCAGCATGAGTCAGCAGATTTGCATCAGTTACTGAAATCATAAAATATGTCGAAAAGCTACTACTATTCGCCTGTTTAGTATTTTCTAGAACCTGATGTCAAACGGTATACAAGTTCCAAGCGAGTTCTTTTGACGAACTAAGTTTTTTCCCACGAGCTGGACTGCTGTGTTTAGTCAAGTGTGACGAAGGTCGATTTTCAGGTTCTGTGTTTACAAGTTCGCGGAAGCCGTAAGATATCTGAAGTTCAAGTGACAGTTTGTTATTATTGGTAGAGGCTGTTTAGTTTTACTACAACTAAACAGTACCTTTTAAAGAATAGCACGATAGGCAATCGGCTTCTGTTTTCAGAATTAGCAAACACTGAATTTACTTGTCCCGAAAATTCAAACTGGTGGCTCCTTCTCGCTGATGGTAATTTATTTTTGAAATTCCAAAACAATTTCACAGCTGAATTTTGAGCGACTTTTAGTTTCGGACTTCTGCTCCAACGATTTTTCTGAAATTCCTCTGGCATATTTATTATATCAATTAAAGCCGATACCAGAAATTTCAGTAAAAAATATCAGCAAAATTTTTTACTAGACGCGATTTTCTTTGAACAGTATGGTCCTTTTAAGCGCTAATTTCTCGAGAAATATTTACCATCAGTGAACTCGGAATATTTCGAATCATTGCCTAATGATATCTGTTGTTCTTTGCAAAGTTTCGCAGCCATCGCGTTAAAAACCAAAAAGTTATGACGGAAAATTTGTCACAGCTAAATGCTCTTGTATTAATTACGGAGCCACCTTAAACTTCCTTGTGTTAATCCGACATCCCTGCGTGCTGATAGTCAGTGAATAATTATCCTCAAAACAGTCGAACTCGTGACTTTGAGTTTTAGCCAATTCCATGCTCAACGTAATTGACTCCTCAGCTGACTCCTTACCCATGCCTTACATATCTTAAATCAGTACATGAGACTGCTATGCTGTTTTTGAAGCCTGATGTGACTAAGAAAAATAGAGAATTGTTTTGTTTAGAAGGATTTGTATGGAGTCATCAGAGCATAACTGAGCTAATATCTCGGAGACAATTTGTCCCGAAATCCTAGTTTTTGGCAGCTAGGCCTCTTGGATGTTGCTCTTTTCAGAATATCCTGACAAATCCCATAATGTCACAAATTAACACCTTACGCTTACCATATTTGATTTCTTACTATTCCTCTGCATTTTCAGTTAATTAGTTCCACAACCACGACGCCGAAATGTACGCTCCGTAGCGTCTTGTTCTACTTAGTATTTATAATTGTAGTTAATTATTAACCACTTATGTAAATTTTAAATTTGAATTTAAGGAGCCGTTAAAAGATATTTTCTTTCGATATAGCTCTCGCCGTGAGGAAGGCAAATTTTGTTAGCCGCAGCCCTTTGCCGTAGTGCCAGCCCTACATTCAGTTTTGTTTCATTTTACACTTTAAGTGATCATGACGTCTGGGTACAGCATCTCTTCAGGGGCACCCAACGACAATTTTCGGAAGAATATCTGTTCGGAAGACGATTTGAGATCTAGGTTTTCGAAACATTTGTTGTAAAATTTCTTGCTTGCCTGCCTCTCCTAGGATTTTCGAACATCTAAAAAATGGGTATAATTGCCTGTTTTTAACGGATTTTTACCCTAAAAAGGTCACCTAGAATTTTCGGGAGCCTTTTTTCTGGCTGAAATTTTCGAAAAGGTAAATTTCGATCCCTATAATTTTCGGATCACTAGACTTTCAGCTAGGAAATCCGAACAGATGAAAAATTTTTAGGGGATAAAAATATGCCTATATCTACCGTTTAAATACTAAAATACGTTTAACAATGCTATGTTTAAGTGGTTTTGAACTATATTCTCGTTGGGTGCCCCTGTCTCTTTAATTAGAGATCTGGCGAGAGGAACCTAGCCTGCAGTGCAGGCGTATTTTGGATGGGCAAAAGCTTGTTCATGTTCGTATTGTTGTAGCCGCCATTTTTGATTTTATGATAGGGGAAGATTGGGGAGAGTAGAAATATTGACCCTTAAGAACCCTCAGGTTCCCTTATGGGTTCCCTTAGGTTAGGCGCGAGGGTGCGAGGCCCCATCACCGCTCCCTTTGACTCTCCCCATTTCCTCCTCTCTTCGGAAGCACGGCGCTTTTGCGAGCAAAAACATTCGCGCGCCCGAAAAAAACGCCTGTACTGCAGGCTAAGAGGAACCAGTCAGTTATATTAACGAGTTGCGTGGACCACTGCCTTCAAACAGTTGTTCACTGTATGATTATGAAAAGCCATAACTTTCTTATGTGGTTATTCATCATATGTACATCATTATATCTTGTGGTTACTTCATTATGTTATGGCTTTGCATATATGATAGTTACACCACAAACCTACCCATTTACGTCATTAATGACACAGCGCGGGCTCGCACTTACAATATTGACTATATTCAACTGTAAAGCGAATGCGGAGGTAAATACCTTTCGTTTTTCGAGCAATATTTTAAGATACTGCGAGTGAAGAGTAGGGCGCCCTGCGACGTATTTTATCATCGGTTTGTTTCGATAGGTAAGTACGTTTTGTGCTGATCGATATCGAAGAGGTGGGGGAGAGATTGGTGGGTATGGCGACGTTTTTTTAAAATATCGTAATATCTGATAAAATCTCCTTTCGTTGATTTACTATTTTATTTGTTTTTGATGCTGGTGAAAATTTAGTACGAAAGTAGAAATCATTGATTGCAGTCGTTTGACCAACTATTTGCAATATTGGATGCTCTTGTTCCCGGTGCACAATTAAACTCGCTCCCCACTGACTGCCGTTATCTAAACGCCTGGAACAGGCTACCCTCTCCTCAAAAACCGAGGCTTTCAAATTCTTATTTGATCTGGAATGCACGGACACGTTTAAACAAGTTCTTAAGAACTCCTTGGTGCTTTCTGGATAAACAAATTACTTTATTCAACTAGTTATAGCTATGGCTAAGTGCCAACGAGCAAAGATTTTACCTTTACACATGCTGTTCAATTTGTTTGGAAATGTTATGAATATACCGTCACTTACGAAAAAAAGCTTGAACTCAATTAGATTGCATAAGCGAAAATTACCTTAAAATTAAATTTAAAACATTCCAAACAATGATGGTAAGAAGATTCCCTGCTTATAGCAGTCTCTCCCCCTCCCTGAAAGACTACATACCTCATTATTCAATGCCATGTCACACAGAGGTGCTTTTGTTTATATCAATATATACTGCATTCTCAGTTTATATCAGCCACACAAGAAATGGATATAAATTGCAAGAAACCTTAAGTTTTGTCTTTGTATCATTTCATTTCATTCATTTATTTTGCTAACAACCATTAACTGTATATTAATTTTATAATTTGCAAAACAAATATACATATATATTAAAGAGAATAGTCACTGTTCAATTTTACAAATCTTTGAAATGGTTATGGCAAGGAAGCCTATAAAGAAGCCAGGGCTTATATGGGTACTCTATTTGGATTAAGGGTATACTGAATGAAAAAAATGGATTAATATAAAAATTAAAGAAAAAAAGGAAGATTAAGAAGGAACTTTTTACACAAACTGATAATTCCACTGTTTTGAATTTCATGAATTAATGAAAATCACAATAATTATATGTAGGGGCCAGTTATCTAACATTGTGGAATTTCACACTCTTTACAAACAATGGCTTGTTTCAAAGAATATGATATGAGAACTGGTTCATATTATGCATAATTATAGTGAACAAGACGCTATGGGGGCGTGTATTTGGGCATCGATGTACTGGCATGTGTGAAGTTTTTTTTGTGTGTATCAGGGAAGTGTGAGTGTAGCATATATTTTAGGGGTTGGTTGAGATGTGTGAAGTGGAAGCATGGAGTTATATCGGACTTGGACTGGCAAGATGGCTGTAGTTTGTTAATCAGTGAACCTGGTTTCTCTTAGAATTTAGTATGATAGTAACAAAAAAGGTGTTGCAGTGAGGTAGTTATATTTATTTACCAGTAACGCCTACCGATTGATGGCGTAGTAGTGCTAATTTGGTATGAAGGGATAGTGTAGTTGCAGTCTGTTGAAATGAAATGGTGGTTGTGATAGATCTTATCAATAGTAAAAAACATACTTGTACTTATTTTGAATGTTGTTAGGCTTTCTGTCTTGGGAAGAGGGTAAGAAGGTTCTAAGGGGGGGGGGGGGACTGAAATTTTGTGTGTTTTGGGGTGACTTTGAAAAATCGTTGAGTTCAAGCGGGAGGGCATAAAATCTGGCTATAGAACTAAGGGCCTGATTACATGAGCCAAACTGGCTCACATTAAAGAGATCTCTCTACCTTAGTTAAGCGCAACAAAAATCAAATTGCAATTACATGAAAACCAAGCCAGCCCGTTTAGCTAAGATCCCAGTGGAAATTTTCCAAACAATGATGTTTGGTGGGTGGCCCAGCAAATGAACCAAGAGAGAAACAGGACAGTGAGTAACACACGGCTCATGATGCGCTTTGCTTCCAATCTCAGTACAAAAAATGGCGGCTCTGGGCTGGCCCTTTTCATGAAGTACGTGACAAAAGTCAATTCGGCAGAGCTAGCCAGCCCAGCTCTTGTGATCAGGCCTTTACTGTGAGTTGTATTGTCATGCAGTTTACACATGAAAGCTTTGGAATTTGTCACTTTTGTGGTTCGTGACTTAATCGAATTAACCCAAGGGTTTTAAAAATAACGAATGCAGTTTGCACCTGAAGAGGTTGGACTTTGCCTCCTTTTACACTTTGAATGTGAAAGAATACAACTTGTTTATGAGATCATTTTGCTCAATACGATTTTAAGAAATCACCCCCTTTCTGAAAATCTGCAATGAAATTATGGATCATTCAATGTTTACCCTTATTATCTCATGCACCATCACAGAATTTTGTGTGACATCTTCTTTGGCTTTTGATAACTGAGGGCAAATTATTTAATAGTTTGTTTCACTCAGCCTACCTTGTGTTTTCGATAAATTTGATTTCTATTGCCGATTTGTTTACCCTGCATTATCTGTGGGACGTATGCAATGAGGATAAATGCTGTGTTGTGACACGTTACGCAGCAGACATTCTAGTCGCGTCACTTGCCTTGTTTACGCTCACATGTATTTGCATTCGTTTTGCAACTTTCAATTAAAACAAACGATCTCAGTTATTCTATCTGGGCGATGCTCAAATAATAATGTATACGTGTACTCTATGCAAGTGTGGAGAGCACATGAAAAGTGTAATTTGATCATGGGACAATTAATGTCTGACTAGATTAAAACTGTCTACGTTTAAACTTAGCCCATGGCTCATGAATTCTTACTGTCGTCAGACATGATAAGATATCTGAACAATGCTATTATTACCAAAGGCTGTCATTTTGCATATGAATAAAAAATATAATTAACCTAGAACTGCTTTGAGCACATTTGACTTGTTCAATAAGATAGAACTTCTGCAGTACATGTACCGGTAATTAGTCTACATTTTAATGTCGCATCACTTATTCTGTGAAGCACATTTACCATCGAAGATGCATAATGTTTTAGATATTGAAACATTTACAGTAAGAACCCTAAATGACAGCTATTAGACTTCCTTGCAAAAGTTTTTTTTCTGAACATAACTTAGCTGTTAATACTAATTTACCCTTTAAGTATACACCACATTTTTTCAATCTACCATTGCAGATTAGATTTTACTGGCTATTAAGTTTCCTTGTTACATTGCTTTAAGTACTGTTACAGTCTGAATTACTGTAAACTTTGTAAATTGTAAACTAATTGTAACACTTGTGTGACAAATTTAGAAAACAATAAAAAAAGCATTGAAGAAAATACACAATTTAAACTGAAGAAGCTTAAACTCTTCTCCATAAAGTAAAATTCCAGAAATAATTGCAATGTTTACAGCCATAATCTTTCCATAGTCTAACAGTAATAAGTACTTACATACAGTATCTTTTCAGGACTTTACTTTGTCTTCACCATGGCTGATGAAGACCGTATGAGGTCAGAGATTGCAAGAATGCAAATGAGAGGAGATGAGCTGACTGATCAGGTACATGTTTTACAATTCCCTTATCAAACAGACAGATATGCTGCAGATATGCTCCTCCTATCTGCAGCATATCTGTGAAATATAGATCTGTCTGTGAAGTATAGGAATTTTGCCTCAAATTTCTCACTGTCACAGATATGTGACAGATATTAATCAAAGCAAGTTAATACATATCTGCTAAAACATCTGCACATCATATCTGTGACAGGTATGTTGGATGCCTGATAGCTCAGTATTAATTAGTATGCCCTGAACTACTACTGTAGTAGCAGTACAGGGGGAAACTACCGTAGCTCCCCATAGCATATTAGGTGACAATAGTTAATGAATAAGTACGGCCATCATCAAGTTTTAAAGAGAATAGCTGGATGATTTATTTACATCTCAACAGCTAATGTAAATCTCAGTACAAATTTGAGAAGTGAGAACTTAAGTGTGATCACATGTGTGATCACACTTATAAATGTGTGATTTTAGTGAAATCCAACATCTTTTTTACACTTTGTCAAACTTCTTTCTTGAATTCAACAAAGTGTGATTTTAATACCTTTTTGATTAAGCACTATTATGTACATCAAAATGTTTGAGTGTTATTAAAATGCAGAGGACATTGCTTGAGGATTGTGCTGCTAAATGTTACCAGAAATACAGCCACACAAATATTGAACTTGAACATATCCCCCCCCCACTCCAACAAAAATATACAATCATTATGTTGAAGTCTGCTTTCTGCCCCTGCACGCCAGTGAACAACATTGATTCATTGGTTGAGTGAGGGGACAGGTCATTGAAGGATAGGTGTCCTGTGGGAAAGAAAGTACAAAACATATTTTGTTAAAGATTCTATAGCTACATATGCAAGTTTGAAAATATTCACCAAGGGAATTTTCAGTTGAAAGGCATGATGAAACAATAAACACCTTCAGCTCTCACATGAAACTAGACGAAATAAACTGGATCGTGATTGGTGATGATCTTCTTAACTTAACAGATTTAGAGATACTCACGACAGTAGTCAGTGTCATGTAGTTGGCAGAAAAAAGTAGCTTAAATTATAGTTTTGCAAAAATTTGAAATCAAACTCTAAAATAAAGAGCATATCAGAGATGCTTGTTACAATCTAAAAAGGAAAAGAATAGTCCTCAACTGTAACAAATACTGTACTGTTACTGTTAGATGGAAAGGTGTTTAAGGATTAAGTTTTAATATCATGAGGGCGTGCATTAAATCACTGGGTTATTAACTCGCCCCACGTAAGGGAATCTTTTAGCTCGTAGAATCCGGAATCCTTGGCATTAGAATCCCGAAAATACATCTCAAGAAATCCGGGATCCCACTAAAGATTAGAATCCAGTATCTAAGTTCCACTGAAAAACACTGAAATCTAGTACGTGGAATCCGGAATCCAAGGCGTGTAATCCAGAATCCATTAGACCGTCTTGGATTCCATTAAGCTTACATGAGGTGAAAAAACCTAGATTGTTGGGTCAAGTCCTCCACAAGTTAAGTACTCTATCAATAGAGTCTCAACAGCCTATAGCTGTGCCGAAAGCGTTAAAATCCTGTGCTCAGTTCCTCGAAAATTAATTCAAGGTTTAATATTTTAGTCCAAATTTTGTGATTATTCAGTATTATGCCTTAATTACTTGCTCCGAGATCGAGCTATAAAAATGAAAACACTTAAAACAACATGTAAGACAGTAAATACAAAAAAGAAATTTTCTATCAATGCTGTATTATGGACCTTAAACTGAAAGTGTTCAGTACAAGAACTTTGCTGCTTTGTTGTCGTTTAAAACAATTTAGCTCAACTTCAAATTAATGAATGCAATCTGTTTAGTAAAAAAAATAAGAAGCAGCAGATCGGGAGAAGAAACTAAAATGTAGTTCCTTTCTAAGGATGCTTTCACAAGCATCGACATCTTTCTTCAAAAGAGTAAAAGATACAGAGAGAACCCATTTATCGAAAGGACAGCACTTAGTGACTTAGTTTTCAGGGTTTTCAGCTAGTCTCTGACACAGGGAACCCGAACGCTGTATTAGCTAATAGAAAATTAGATGTATTTACGCTGTATCAGCTAATAAAATAATAATATGTATTTACCTTTGTTCCTGTGTCTTTATGAGTCGTTCTGGAAGGGATATGAATCCGATCAGAGACGGTTCCCAACATTTGCTGGTTATCAAATGCGTTTGCTTGTCTGGCGCGTCGTAAATTACTAAGGACGCTCAAGTTTCGTCTCACGTTTCTGATATTTTTAACTATTAATTTTCCTCTGACGGCCATGAGAAGAGACGAGATCATCTCCCAAGGAGATCGAGAGTTAATAGTTAACATGAAACGTGAGACGAAACTTGAACGTCTTATGTATGACTCGTCAGACTATTAAAGCAAACGCATTTGATAACCAGCAATGTTAACCGTCGCTGATCGGATTCAAATCCCTTCCAAAACGACTCATAAAGACACAGGAACAAAGGAAAATGCATCTTATTATTTATTATTATTCATTCAAAATATTTCCCCAATTCTGATTGGCTAAAAGCACACGCATAATTCACCATAACCACTTACTGATGACCAAATTTTGAAGAATTTTGTGTTTAACGAGGAAATGACGTCAAAAATGCAGCCTAGTCTACAGGTTAAGGCACCGTTAACCGAGAAGACCTGGGGACGAGGTTGAGTTGTTTTCGTTCTGAAAACTAAAATGGCGGCTACTTCACTCGTTTCAAGAGTAAGAATTGAATTCGGCTTTTGTATCATATGAAGAATTATGGAGATCTCGGAGGGTGTTATCCGCCTCGGCCTCGACGAATAACACCCTCCTCGATCTCCATAATTCTTCATAAGATACTCAGCCTCATTCATTAATCGTTAAATAAGCTAATACAGCGTAAATACACCTAATTTTTTCTATTAGCTAATACAGCGTTCGGGCGCCCTGTGGTCTCTGATTATTAAAATGAAATCTTCATCGGAAATAAGGATTACAGGTCGATGTAGGTCATGTAGGGAAAAATAAAAGTCGTTGGGTTTCACGGTGACGTCATCAAGTCAAAATAGCGAGGTTTAACGAATTCTTATTTACACTAGGTTGAAGATAAACAAAAAGTAAATCTTTGTACAAATTTCCATTCCCGTAGCATGTTTCATTTCAAATATACAGCAATTTGAACTTCCGAGTTTTCACAGTGCGTGACACCAAAATAGGAATGCTATCTCGTCTCTCCTCTTGATTTTCAGTTGTACAACCATTTCAGGTATTAGAAGATACGTTTATGCGTACGTATGCTAGTTCTCGAGCGAAAAGAAAGAGCTTTTATAGAAAAAGTGAACTCCAGATGTTTTTGTTGAGTTCCGGCGGCCATATTGATGGTGCACCAAAATGGTGCACCAATATGGCGTCTCCATACAAAGCTCTACAAAGGTGCGTGAAACGTTTTGGCAAATAACTCAGAAACTGTGGTTCACAAAGACCTGAGACTTGGACAAATTGTTTATATATTAGTCTTTTATAACATTTCATTTTCCTGGCTTCTTCAACTGGACGGTTTCCAATTTGTTTTTTTGTTGCGTGACAGTGAAAACGATTGTGATTGAACGAATGAAGAGAGTTTGGTAGCCGTGGCAGCCTCGTTCAGAAATTCGCGCCAAAACCGTGAAAACGTTCGTCAAAACACGGGTGCTAGGATCCAGTCTTTCATCGTCCCGTCCGAGTGCGGCCATCGTTCGCATCGATCTTTAAGATCCTGTAGATCTTTCAGCCCTTTGTGCATGTGCTGTTTTTTTTCTTTCCATCGGTTAAGTTAATGAACAATATGTGAGGGACAAGCATGAGATCTGAACTGAGGTCAGAGTAAAAGAAAATTGCTTGAGCTTCGTACATCACCTTGAGTTCGCAAGTAAAGATCGAAGTCATTCTCCGTTTATCGATATTTTTACCCACTGTTTTACCTGTCGTTGTACAGAAGCAGAAGCTCAATGCCGAATGGAAGAAAAAAAGTACGTCAAGGTGAGTATGTATGGCTGTATTTTTGGTCATTTTAATTACACGTAACAATTTTCTTACTTATTTTGATTTAAGCTTCAAGGCATGCACGACAAACGCAGACTGCAGACTTTCAGACTGGCACATAAACATTGTTCTAAAATGCTCTAGGGTTAATTAGGGTTAGGGTTAGGCTTAGGCTTAGGCTTAGGATTAGAGCATTTTAGAACAATGTTTACCTGCGACAGTCTGCAAGTTTGCAGTCTGCGTTTGTCGCACACCGACGGTCAGTATAACACATGGACTGCGGACTGCGGACCACGGACTGCGGACTGGGTATAAAACACGGACTAGGCTTAAGATGCAGACCACGGACTACGTTGGTTAAATTAACCTTTTATTAAAAGGAATAAGTAATTGTTTATTAATTTGTTGATTTATTTTTCAAAGACCTTTTACCTGTAATATCCTCTGTGAAGATCTTTAATTACTGGCTCATTAATTCCTATATGTTTGATGATGTTTTTACAGTAATTATTAGATGTACATGATTTGTATTGTAATAACTGTGCTCACTTCCCAAGAAGTGCATCATTTAGGAAAAACTACAACAAAACATTATATAGCCTGCGCGCAGACGAAATTAAACTCTGGTTAACTCCGTCTGCGAAACAGCGCCGAAATCCTTGTTCTGGACTTCCAGCTGTGTACCCAGATTTGAGTACGCGCCACGATTGGCCAGTTAAAAAAGGCCTTTGTTTTGTTTGTCGTGATCGCCAATCAGGTTGAAGGGGAATTCGAAACGCACTTCCGGTAATTCGTTGAGTCCGTTGGGGGTCCAGAACAAGGATCTCTGCGCTGCTTCGCAGACGGTACTAATCAGAGTTTAGTTATCGTCTGCACGCAGGCTAAACATTATAGTACCATGTTCAAAGCCTGATGTTTGCACTCCTGTTTTTTCAACTTGAATACTAAAAACATATGCATTGATTCTTGCTTTACGCGATTCTCGTCGCGCAGGAAACTAGACGCGACTGGTAACTGACTTTTGAGCGGTACTGTACATGCAACGATTGAAATTAATGTTGTAATGCAACTGTACAATTACTGAATCCACTTAAATATATTTTCATAAGCTTTGGACAAATCTGCCGTAATTTTCAGTCTGTCTACTTTGAATGCAATTATTAATGGAACGATTTCCTAAAAATGAAAATGAGCAGTTAAGTACTAAAATGCACCTATCCTAAAGTGCATAACACCAATTTAATTATTTCATTCAACTTGTTATCATTAGTATCATGAGGATTTCCAGTGAGATTTGCTTGAAAGAGTGATTTCGTTTCACCACTGCCAATGAAATCACACTTCTGTATCACACTTCTTTATCACACTTCTTTCTACACGAATCACACTTCTCAAGCATGAATTCTAAGAAATCACACAAGTGAAGTGTGATTAAAAGTGCGATTCCATGAATCACACTTCTATCACACTTTCAAAGTGTGTTTACACATATGATCACACGTTTTTTTCGGTCTGCTCCTAGCTTCTTACAAGATAAGTTGACTGGCTGGGTCAGTTATATGAAAATTGAATGGATTATTCATGATCAGCCTTCAGATGTTCATTAGTAATTTTATAGCAGTATCTGCCTGATAAATGTCTTGAGTATAAAAAGCAATACAAATTGTTTTGTTTAACACTTTTCCAGTGGATTTTAACTGATACAGTAAAGTCCCGCAACTATAAGAACCTGGATTTAATTCCAAGTTAGCCCACAAAGGTTGTTATATAAAGGGTATTAATTCTCTTCTAGACTACTATTAATTGTAATATTTTGAGAAAGCCGATCAAAATTTAGTATATTACTCCAATAGACAGTTGTAGTACTGTCTTAAATTCATTATTATTCTGTTAACCTGTGGTAAAAACATTTTAAAAACTCCCACGTGTTGCCTTCAACAAACTGCAGTGGTACGTCTTGCTGTGAATGTTTTGCTTACATTCTTAACATAGTTCCCACCCAATTGTCTTTATTTATTTGTCCACTTATAAACACATGTGCTTACCTGTGTTCTTTATCAAATGTCTTTCATCACTATTCTTTCAGGGAGGACGTTGTCGAAGTAATCAACATCAGTGCAATTTAAGAAAAATGTGTTTACGTGGAGTTTAGAGAGTGACACACACAGTACAGCTTGCTTATATTAGCAGATTTCTTAATTTTATTGAGACAGATTAGAATTGATCTGTCATCTGACTGATAATGTTATTGAGATGTAACTGTATTAAAACTAGACTTTTTTCTAGTAATAATTGCAAATTAGGGGAGTGCGTTCCATGGGGAGGGGGAGGGTGGTGAGTAGTGAGCGGTAAAACTAGATTATTCTTACTGTTGCATCAGTAGGTATTGCACCTATAATGAAGTATCATGGATTATACAGTGTGTAATTATAACGTCGCCTAAAAGGCTGCTGCATTATTAAAGTTTTTCAGCAACAACTTGAAATTACAGTTTTACGACAGGGACCGCGCAGCAAGTTTTCGAGTGGGGGGGCTAAAGAAGAATGCGAGAAGGCAATTTTTTTTTTCCACCTCTTCAGTGATGTTGCTATCGGGTCTGAAAATTCACCATCACTAAATTGAAATATCATAGATTGTTATGTTATACTACTGATAACAACCTTTAATTACTTGAATAAGCCAGAAATCCAACGATTTTGCTTGAGCTGCCTTGAACTCAAGGCTGTATAATTACTGAGCAATTATTGCACGAGGCTGAGTATGATATGAAGAGTTATGCAAATCGAGGGGGTTATCCGCCAAAGCCGAAGGCTTGAGCCCGGTGGATAACACCCTCCGAGATCTGTATATCTTCATATCATACGAAAGCCGAGTTCAATAATTGTTTAATTATTCATTCAAAATATTTACACGGCAAAACAAAACGGTAACTGAAAATAATTTAGTGAATGAAAATTCAATTATAGAACAGATTCAGAAAAAAGTAGCAAAAATTATGCAGAGTTAACTCACCAGATAAAGAAGGTTTTCCATTTTGTTTGCAAAAGTAATCAGAAATTTTAAGAGATCTCTTCTTTGCATTACTAGTGGTATGTGAAGTCTTGTCTTTGCCAGTAACTCTGGTCACTTTCGAATTAACGATTTTTTGCTATTTTTCACTCCGTTACTTTTGCTAAGTTATTTTTTGTTTAATTTATTTTTATACTTGCAAAAAAGTGGGGGGGCTAAAGCCCCCCAGCCCCTCCCTCTGCGCGGTCCCTGTACGAACACCAGACCTACGACACAGCCTGGACATTCTAATGTGGCTTGACAAAAAATATGGCTTGCTTTGTATATTCAGCCATTATCTGTTACATATATGTGGTTCAGTACAGATACTTTGCAGATATTTTCTACATATCTGTTAAATATCTGTGACCATCTTTGCAGATATTTTGCAGACATGGGTGAACTCATTACAGATAACTGCAGTACTGTAACAGATATGTGGCAGATAGTTGCAGATAGCTGACTTATTTGTTCGTTTGGTAAGGGAATTTTTTAATTGTATTTACAATTTATTGATTACGTGTAGACATGTCAATAAAATGAATATCTAATGAAGACTAAGCAGTATCACTATAAAAAATACACCATTATAAATGCAACAATGCCTAGAGCAGTGGAAACTGTGTGCAGGACTCACATATTGAAGAGATTTTAAGTGCATGACTGCATATTCTAAAATGGCACTTGCTTCACAGCTTTCTCTCTTTATATACAATAATATTGTATACCCCAGAAGATATCTATGTATTGAAAAGGCCAAATAAAGGGAAAAACATTCACGTCCTTTCTTGACAAATAATGTTAACCCAATCCCATTTCTGCTGCCGGTCACCACCTGTTTAGATTTGTATACAGTCAAAGCCCCTCAATACAGTAAGAGTCCGTATTAACAGGGTGTCTGTTTTAAACAGGTCATGTGACTAAAATAAAAAATACACTTTTGTTAGAACGAAATTCCAAAGAACACAAAGTTGTCATTTGACGCTACTGTTGAACCCTGCTTTATGGACACCCGCTTAATATAGACACCTCATTATTACGGACAGTTTTCTTTGTCCCTGGCGAAAGCCCGTACATTTTCTCTAAATTCAACCGGCGTTATATGGACACCCATTGATACAGACAACAGACACTTGCCTATGAACACATTTCCACTATAGAAAGAGAACCTCGCTTATGCGGACACTTCATTACCAACTTGTGTTGTAGCAAACCTTTCCTTTTTGAAGGCAACAAACCGTCAGTGAACAGCATTTTGATGTTCCCAGTGCTACCGTAAACCGGATAGAAGGATAGTATACCTCAATTTCAGATTCTTTCAAGTGATCAAACTGGTTATGCAGCGATAGTTATCTGGATGAGCTAGATTTGAGTGTGTCCGTGGATTTAGTCTGTAGAATAACGGATTTGTGAAAGTTGGGGATTGACTTAAGTAGTTAACATACACCCCTTTAATAAGGACATGTTTTATAGTCCCTTCAGTGTCTGTATTAAGGCCGGTTTGGCTGTACCTGTACAAGGCTGTGCTCTAAGGAGAATTGAAGGGTGCCCAGTGCTCTGAACCTGTAAAATCTAGGTTGCCCAGCATATGATTTGAATGAAAAATCTCAGATTTTGTAGTCGCCCAGGAGTAAAAGTTGGGCGCAAGGGGCAACCGGGCTCTGCTAGAGCACAGCCCTGCCGTATATTTACATGTATGTCCATGGGGAACACTCAAAAATCGTTCATTTTAAATACATTACTAAATCAAGATTTTTCTCTGCACAACTCATTTACTGTATACAGTCAAACCTGTATAGAGTACCAAAGTGTGACGTCATAAAAGTGAAATTTCTGAAATTATGGGATTTCTCAGGATATTCTGAAAGAACAATGTCCAAGAGGCCTACTTGCTAAAAATAAGCATTTCGGGGCAAATTGTCTCTGAGATCGTAGCCCAGTTATGCTTAGAAATCTCCATACAAACCCTTCTAAATTTTTTTGGGTCGACTCCCCAAAAAATTAAAAGGGTTTGTATGGAGTTTTTTGAGTATAACCGGCTAACATCTCATAGACAATTTGCCCCGAAATGCTCATTTTTGGTAAGTAGGCCTCTTGGACATTTTTCTTTCAGAATATCCTGACAAATCCCATAATTTCAGAAATTTCATTTTTATGACGTCATCACTTCAGTACTCTATTAAGCGGCACCGTATTAAGCGGTCAGTTTTCAAAGTCCCGAAAATTACTTTCCTTCATGCACTGTAAGTTCGACCGCCATTAATCGGCCACCTCTATTGAACGGTCGCGGTCACCATTTGCGAAGTCCCAACGGGACTTTTTCTATTGTCTTGACCTGTGTTAAACGATCACACGGTGTCAATTACTTGTTCATACAGTTTAAAATACTGTGACGAGCGAGGTACAACAATTGATTTTCTTGTTTATTTTCGCAAATCATTAAAACGCCTGAAATGAATGTTTCTATGTCAGGTCAAACGTCTGTTCTGATCAGCAATGGAGATCGAATAGGCAAGTTTCGTATTCCCGGACGGCCAAGGACGAGTGCTTATTTTTGTGCGAAAGCGAGACTAATGCGGGTCACTTTTCACAAAGAAGACAAACAAACATGAGAAAACTGCGCCGGAGTTGCCGATCGATTGAAACGTTGAAAGGTTCCCGAGGTCTCAAAACTTACTTACAGGTATGAGGCTTGAGAAATTATTGTTTCAAACAGCAAAACGAAAATCCCCTCGTCATCACTGAGAAAAACAACGAGCCTAACCAGACATTGACCGAAATGGTGGTGGGTGAGTGAGTTCAATAAAAATGCGAAGATGGTTTCAATTCCTTAAACAAGTTAATAGCCTGAAGCCATTTTAATGTTATTTCATTGATGGTTAAAACTTATTTAAGTCATACCTTCCCTTGGAGTGGACGTACTTGTTGAAAGCCTGCAAGTTAAAATGAAACCTTATTTTTAGTTGACATTTTTCTCACGGAGCGAATGCAAAATCTTGTGCCTTTGAAAAAAAAATAACAAACCGACGGGGCAGACGTTCTGCATACATTCCTTGCACTATAAGGAAGTGAAATCGGTTTCAAGGAAGATGACTAAAATAGTATTATTTATACATAAGCTTACATTTAACTTACACAGAAGCATATAATATATGCTTCTGGCTTACATTTCGACACATTATTTATCAAAATATTCAGTCCCAAGAAAAATGTACACGCATTTCACTCGACAAGAACTCAACCAGAATTTTATACAGACGATATACTGCCATTTTTAACTCCATTTTACAGATATACACAAGAGTAAAGTAGAATACTAAGAAGTAAGATAATGAAAGGGAATAAAATATTGTCAATTTGACAAGCTTTACCCTTTTCAAGCTTAAAAAGCTTACGTGTTCTTTTGGCTTCGTCGCTTTTTTCTTTCGTCTGTGAAGTACGATTACTGAGCTTTTCAAACAATTTTGGTGTTTGCAACAGATATCCCTTTGGCTTACAGTATGTATCTCAGTATTCGGTCGGTACCAGTATCCGGACACTTAAAACAAGAACTCAATTTTTGAGGCGCCCTTTTCAGTTCTCGGTAAACGAAGTATTTCGAATGAAAGCTGACCATTTCAGCTTTAAGATGAAAGTTTTGGCTATTTGAAAGCTTGCCAAACAGTCGCAGAAGACGCCGTTCTGTTCAGGTGAGTAAACTTTTCATGGCTAATATTTACGCTGTTTCCCGCGCAGTAAAATTAGTGCTGCTCAGAAAAGGGAGGGTAATGTGTGATATTTTCAAAGAAACTGTTTTATTTTTAAAGTGAAGATACTTAAGGAAGTTAGGTTTTCAGAAAGTTTATTAATTCTTCTTGAAATTCGATTTGTTTGGAATAACGGAGGTCAGAAACATTCACTAAGTATTGATGTCAGGTGCCCAGTATCCGGACAGTTTTTTCTTTGCTGTACAGAATCGATGAATTAGCAGTGTACATTATCCAGATAAGATTTATTTCATATCAGTAACTATAATTAAAGCTTAGGATATATGAGATAGTCGTAAAATGTAATTCTATTCAACTCCGTATGGAAATTTTTTTCAGAGGCGACATGATTTCGTGTGCACGGCTTCTTTCGCGTGACTGCATTTTCTATATATAACCGAAAGCGTCTGAGTTGAACCTGGAATTCTCATACTTTCTCCAGTTGTGACTGCTAGAATGGGGTTGCAACGGTCTGAAAATGTCACAAAGGGATTGAGAGATGTGAAAGAAGGAGGAATTAGTTCTAGAAAAGCAGGCTTATTGTGGGGACTGAGCATGAAGAAATCAACACCGCAGGTCAGACTAAATAGGAGAGTGACCTTTGACCGTCGGACTGAGGTCCCGGCCCAATCTTTTTTTTTTAAATAAAAAATGAAGAAAAAGAAAGTCGTTTGCAGATTCAATTGAGCTTGCAAACTGCGGCTTCGGCATGTCCACGGATGCCTTCTTTAAATCAGTGAAAAAGTTCCTAGACAAGGAAGTGAGAATTATACCATTTTTAAAACAGCCGCTCACATCCCAGTCACTTGTTACGTTTTATTTCACGATGCTAGGTTACATTTTTGGAATCGATAGCCAGACTACTTTGCAAGTGCAAGAGAAGCTTATAAGTCGCTTGCCTGTCGAAATTTATGTACAATTACGTTGTTTTTGTTGTGTCCGGATACTGGGCAACATAGGAGCTCTGCAAAAATATTAATTTCGCGATGGAAACAAGGGCAAAAAAGTTAAGCTGTCTTTCGTCATATTAAGGACTAAATAGATTTTCTCTGGGCAAATTTTAGAGCTCTTGCGATTAACAAAGGAAAGATACTGCAATCTTAAACTGAAGTGTCCGGATACTGGGCAACATATTGTACTGGTAAAGCTACTCAGTGGCAAACAAGACCCTACGGACCTAGCGTACACTTCGGCGTCGTTGTTGTGGAACTAATTAATTGTGAATGCGGAGGAATAGTAAGAAATCAAATACGGTAAGAGTAAAATATAAGGTGTGAAATTATGGGATTTGTCAGGATATTCTGAAAAGAGCAACATCCAAGAGGCCTACTTGCCAAAAACTAGCATTTCAGGACAAATTGTCTCCGCGATATTAGCCCAGTTATGCTCTGATGACTCCATACAAATCCTTCTAAAAAACAATTCTCCATTTTTCTTAGTCACATCAGCCTTCAAAAACAGCATAGCAGTCTCATGTACTGATTAAAGATATGTAAGGCATGGGTTAGGAGTCAATTACGTTGAGCATGGAATTGGCTAAAACTCAAAGTCACGAGTTCGAATGTTTTGAGGATAATTATTCACTGACTATCAGCACGCAGGGATGTCGGATTAACACAAGGAAGTTTAACACCAAAGGAACATAGCCTTTACAGAGCTTTAAAACACAGCATCCGCCAACACAAACTTGACTTGAACTTTGAGTAAAACTAAACAGCCTCTACCAATAATAACAAACTCTCACTTGAACTTCAGATATCTTACGGCTTCCGCGAACTTGTAATGCACCTATCAATGGTTTGCCCCAGGATGGGGGGGCCGGGCAACCCACGGGAAATTTGATATTTTCAGTTTTTCAAATGTCAATTTCCCCACCCTTTGGTCCCCATTGTAAGTCAAATTCCCACCCCTGTGGACCACAGACCTTCATAGTAAGTTCAACGAAATGATCGGCACTCACAACAAGTTTATTGCAGCACTCCTCCAGACACAACACTGATACAACGATTAAACAAGATCCTCTCAAAACAATTCAAACGGTATTTCTTGTAGACAAAAATTTTTTAGGGTAGAATTATTAAAAAATTGACATAGAAAGTATCAAAAAATAAGATTATTTAATAAAGCACTACTTGTGATTGTTTGGTGAGATTTGGCACAGGTTTCTGGATTCATCTTCTATGTCACGCCTGGAATAGGTCGTATTCCGCTTTCATCCAACTGATGTTTGTAAGTGAGGTCCACAATTGACCAGAATTTCATTTAATTTAACATTTGGAGTATACTAGCAAATCTATAAACACAGAGAGTATCGAAAACTTGAGGAAGGGCGGCATCCTCTAAAGACAGGTAAGTAGGAAGTAAATTTTGATCTAAATGAGCTCTTGTGCGAATATTTCTTCTCAAAGCTGAAGGAAAAATACCTTATGTTATTAGACCTTTAAAGACAGAGCACTGATGGGCATAGAAAACAACATTTTTGCTTTCAAAAAAGCAACACGATACTCCTTACCTTTCGTTCAGCGGGAAACTCGCTCAAATGACTTCTTGGTATTTTCCAAGATGGCGGACCACTCACTCATTCCCAGGTCCTTTCCACTTTTCAAGATGGCGGTTGAGTCAAATTTCCCAGCCTGGGACCGTTGTGGATGTCAAACCCCCCACCCCGTGGTCAATTTTACGAAGTCCGGTATCAAAAACAAAATGGGTTGCTAAAAAGAACATTTTAAAGGCGGTCGCCCCATCCTGGGGCAAACCATTGATAGGTGCATAAACACAGAACCTGAATAATCGACCTTCGTCACACTTGACTAAACACACACAGCGTCCAGCTCGTGGGAAAAACTTAGTTCGTCAAAAGAACTCGCTTGGAACTTGTATACCGTTTGACATAAGGTTCTAGAAAATACTAAACAGGCGAATAGTAGTAGCTTTTCGACATATTTTATAATTTCAGTAACTGATGCAAATCTGCTGACTCATGCTGAAATGTAAACACGCCCTAATTAATTATTCATGGCTAATCCAAAAACGTAGAGAACGTTCGTGAAAGTCACGCAACGCATGAAAGCAATTTTACTACGTAACACTCAACAAAGACAAAATGTCTTTGTGCAGCATTTTGTAACTTTAAATTCATCATAAAACAGTTCGAAAGGAGGGCTTACTCGTGAAATGTTTTTCAACACTCGAAGAGAAATTTCGTGTCTCTGCGCGGCCACGAAATATCCTCTATTTATTCCTCGAGTAATTAAAGACTAAACTCGAAGTGATCTCAAGATATCACGAAGTAGTCCGATCTCATTTCGTGAAATAGTTGAAACAAGCCGAAAAGTCACGAACTTGCACGCCCAATCTTGTCCCGAAACTAGTGCATCATTTCATAACTATTTTTGATATCCCAAACTGCCTTGGGTCGCAGTAGCGCAATCGGCTAATCCCTCAACTTAGAGTCTCCTCTGATCTGACGGGTCACACAGGTGAGTCGGTTCAAACCCCGGGAAAGCCAAAATAATTCTTTCTTCCTCGAAAAAGTTAAAGAATAAATCAAAGAAATCGAAGTGATCTCGAGATATCTCGAACTAATTCGGCTCTCACTTCGTGAAATAGCCGAATAGAGCCGAAAACCTACAGACTTTGCTTGCCCAATCTTGTCAAAAAATTGCAACTTTGATACATTCCTGAGCGTCGCGAATCCTTTACTTCGCGCTCCGCCGAAGTAATTACCTATATTTGATTTTGTTTTTGCAAAGAAGTTGACCCGCATTAGCCTCGCAATAGTGCTCGTCCCGGGGCCGTCGGGGAATACATGAAGACACTTGCCTGTTCTTTGAACTGTATTTCTTGCAACCTGTATTAGGCTGTCACCCTGTATTAAGTGGTCACTTAGCCATTCCCCGAGGGTGACCGCTTAATACAGGTTCGTCTGTAGTATGTGCCAAAAATAAGCTGAAATATACATGTACAATAATTGATCCTATCTGCTGTAAAGTAACACTGGAAACAATTACATGCTGCCAACTGAGAGGTTGACAATGAAGTGTTGGCAATATAGCAAGATTGAATTTCTTTAAGAATCCGTTGATTGGGCAAGAAAAAGGTTTTCTGTAAAAATGTTTATGATAGTAAAGATGTTGGTCTCATATCTGACAGATGTTTTATTCAGTAGACTGCTCTTTACGTCTTGACTTAGCTATGACTTTGCCTCCTACGCAAACCACGAACTGCAGTTTGCAGTATGCGTTTGCAGTTTCGCGTTGCCGGGATTTCGAATTTTAGCAAGGCGTCATTGTTTAGTGCTACTATGTTGTTATTCGTCAAGTCTTCACTTCAGGCCTTTAAATGTGAGGCTGTACAATTTTAAGTGACAAAAAACCTTGCTATAACAACAACAAAACATTGTTAGGAACACATCAACAGTGCAATAGATGTTTAATGTTCCCCCACAAATAGAAAATGTAATTGAGGCGGGGGAAGGCGGAAAAAGAGAAAAAAATATTATAATGCTATATGTATAAGAAACAAAAATGAAAAATTGCTTACCGCTGGATATCCTTCCTGCCGTTCAAACGTGACCTGCAAACGCGACTGGAAGACCGTGGTCATGTGACACTCTCAGGTTTGCGGTTTTTCACGAAAAACCTGATGCTAATAAAGCTTTCTAATAATTATCTTAAACATGGTTCGTAAAATCTTTAAAAGGTCTTGAATTTTAGTAGTCTTCGTGAAAAGTCCTAGAAATTCACTACCTTCTCTACGCCCGACACAATTTTCTGTAAAAGTACATTTTTGTTGTCGCATAAAAGTTGGCTCACCCTCGGTGTAAGTACCTGTAACCTCACAGGTAACGTAAAAACGTTTTTGGTGCATGAACAATATTTTATTTCTGCTTCTTTGTTTCGAATGCTATTTCTGTACCTAATGCAACTGCAAGTCATTTTGCAAAGTGTTGTTTGAGAAAGCATAAAATAACGTGATCAACCATGGCTGAAGAAGTTAAAATCATAAATGACGAAGCAGCCCTTCTCAGGATCGCTCTGCTCATCTTCATAGCATGAGGACGGTGCTAGAAAAGGAGCCCTAAACATAGTCTGCTACACATAACCCTGGCCAACATACTGCGGCTGGTGGGGATCCCACACAGCAGTCGAAAATCAAAGAAACCAAGAAAAAATGTACTCATCCTATCATCTTGGAGCGTCAGGATGCTGCTAGACAATGCCAAAGCAGACCAACCTGAAAGAAGAATTGCACTTGTGGCCAGAGAACTTTCCCACTATAAAATTGACATTGCAGCACTTAGTGAAACGCTTCTTTCTGATAAAGGTCAACTTACTGAGATTGGCGGTGGTCAACCTTTTTTAGAGTGGACACAGAAGTGAAGAGCGACGCGAAGCTGGAGTTGGCTTTGCCATCAGAACCCACCATGTAAAGAAGCTGTCAAGAATCCCTGAGGGTCTGAAAAACTGCCTGACGAAACTGCAGCTCCCACGTGACCGTCAAGTTGATCGGCGCCTATGATCCCACCATGACCAACCCTGAGGAAACTAAAGACAAGTTCTATAAAGAACTCGATGCCCTTCTGTCAGCTGTCCTTCAGTCTGAAAAGCTAATTGTCCTTGGCGGCTTCAGTGCAGTCAATCTAGGCATTTCTGAGGCTCAACATCAAACTAATTGCGACAAAATTTTCAACGCCATTTAACCAAGGGTGGCCTATCTAGCAACATACTAAAAATCCGCAAAAATCCGTTTGGTAGAAAATGTTAAAATTAAGCGTTAAACATTTTGAGCTTTTAACACAGGGCACCCACGTTAGTTGAAGTTATACGTTAAAACAAAAAATGCGCAAAATTTGTTTGTTCCTTTTATGGAAAGTGAAAGAAGAAAGAATAACTGATACCTAGTTTTCGGTGATAAAAACGTGTTGTCAAAACTGTTTAATATCTAACACGGTTGACTTTTGCACAGGAAGCCCATGCTTTGCTCAAGGAACCCCAAAATAACAGGAGGCTCACAGAGTAATAGAGTGAACTTTTGGCTGTAAAACTACAACAAATTTAGTGGAAAGGCTTTAAATCTGAAAAATGAGAGCCTTTACTTAATCATTAGATTTTAAAATATATCCTTTTTAAATCAGATTTCTGTTAGGCACAAGGGTAAGAAAAATATATATCAGAGCTAGATTTTTGAATAACATTACAGCCAAAATAGGGCTCTCAAACAGAAGTAAAAAAAAATAGCAGTGCAGCCATTGCTTTTTTTTCTTCTCTTCCTTTCTTTCTCTTCGTTCTCTCTATTTTCCCTTTCCTTGTTCTTTTCTAGGAGGATTTTTGGTTTCATTTTGCCTTCGGCTTTTGGTCTTTTTTCTCAGTCAAAAGACTGCAATTTTCGTTCGGTACGTTCTCAAAAACCCAGCAAGATAATGCTTTGCAGGCTTTTACGATATACCAGTTTCACTCTTTTGAAGCTTTTCGTTTTCTTCTTGTTAAAAGTGAATGGAGAGGAGGGAGGATAGTTTAAACTAATCCTTTACGATGCACAACAATGCAGAGTCTTTGAGCAGGTTAAGCTCCAATGCCTATGAATTTGATAAGAGGGAAATGCGTTTTCATTTAAGGAAAAGTGTTATTACCTTCGCGAAAAAAATTATAAAGGTTAACTGAACATTCATCGCATAAGAACTTTGGTTCCAGCAAACGTTTGTTTCAAGAAAACGAAATAGTATAATAGGGAAGCTGCTTTTTAAGGGAAAGATAAACTCTGGGTAGCCAAAACAATGCGTATGTAAAAATATCTTGTAAGAGTCTGTGCAGTAATGGAAATTCCCCACGCAGAGCATGATTCACGCAACTCAGTCATAAGGTTAACATGCAGTAAGTTGAAGTGTTACACAACGCACATCCGAAGAGAAACATAGGTTCCCCAAAAAGAGGTGAGCCATCAGAAGCTAAGTCAGGCAATCCCATTAATGTTGTAACTGTGTCTAGTACTTTTGCGCCTTCATTGATCATGACCGCTGTAATTATTTCAGACGTATAGGATCCCATGATCGTTAAGAAAAAGAGGTCTTCATTTGCCAATGGACGAGAAAAGCTGATCAAGGTTCAGGGTTGTTCTCACAAAATGCAAGGAAGGAATATAAACGCCTTTATACCACAGAGCGATCAATCTACTTATTCATCTCACCAAGAAATGATCATGAAGGGCTGCCGCAGAAAATACAAACTGAACACAGAGATACACTAAACTAAACTGAGATCTGAGACTCGCTACAAGAAGATTGTTCACCATCAGTCAGCTTATTAAATTTGGGTGAGGGTAACAAAGGCGATGCGTGACACTCAATGCTGGAGTGATCTCTACCTCATCATTTCCAAACTGAAAGGTCTCCATTTTCAGCGAAAGAGAAGGCCTCAAGGGCAGAAGGTCACCAAGCAACTCCAACCTCCCCACCCTCTCTAATGACATTGAAGAAGCGTGGGCCCCCTTTAGGGACACAGTTCACTCTATTGCCCTCAAAGTCCTCGGGCCGACCACAAGGAAGCACCAGGACTGGTTCGAGGGAAATGATGCCGTAATCCAAATAATGTACTACTGGAGGAAAAGTGCCACCTACATTGAGCCCACAAGAGCGACCTCTTCAGCCAAGCGAAAACGGCTGGCTTCATCAAGCTGCACAGCCAGATATAGACGAAGCTCCTCTCTATGCAGGACACCTGGCTCAGTGCCAAAGCAGACGAGATTCAGTGCTATGCAGACCGGCATGACACTAAGTGGTTTTATGATGCTCTTAAAGCTGTCTACGGACCTCAATCCTCTGGGTCTTCCCCCGTCCTTCGACCTGTTGGAACTACCCTGTTCATTGAAAAGAGACAGATCCTGGAGAGATAAACTGGACACTTTGACAGTGTCCTCAACCGCCCCTCTACAATCAATTACACAACCATTGAACACCTTTCACAGGTTCTGGTGAACCTGGAACTCGAATCTCTCCCGACGACTGAAAAAGTGGGGAAAGCCCTCAAGCAAATGTCCATCAGGGAAACCTCAGGATCGGACACAATCTCTGCTGAGTTGTACAAGGCTGGTGGCTCTGTCCTGCTTCACCAGATCACCCACCTCTTTTGGTCCTTATGGGCCAAAGAGCAACTCCTAGTAAAGTTCTTGAGCTACAGAACGATCATGCGACTGTAATGTTTGTTTATGCTTTATTGTCTTTCTGTCGATAGTTTTTCCTGAGAAAGCCCCATTCTCTCAGATTATCACCCCCACCACCTTACTGCCATTAAATTGTTATCTTTTCTTCTTAATCTTTTAAAGCAAGGAGCCCAAAAGTGTGACCGCTTTTGATTTATTCACCTTCTTTTTTACAGATTTAATCCAATCAGAAGCCAGCTGGAAACTGTCCTCGACTTCTGATTGGTTAATGTCTGTATGGAAGAATGTGAGTTAATTACAGGAGGTCACCCTTATGGGCTTCTTGCTGTAAAACTACAAGTAGGCTGCCAGAAAACTAACTTTTTTCATGTTTTAAACCTTTGACTTCATCACGAAGGCATGAAGGAAGGGCTATACAAAACAGCACATTGACATAGCCTTGACAATAGCATCTTTAAAATTAATGTCGGGGGACTATAACTAAGAGATAACTTTAAACAAAGGGAGTTTTTCTCTTTGCTTTTAAGTCCCCCGAACAGACCGTACAAACCTTCGGTCACTGCCTACTAAAATAAAGGTTAATTGCCATAACAAAATTTCCTTCATTTTTCCAAAGTTTTATCTTTTTTTCATGTAAATGTGTCAAGCAATGCACATCACATAACAGTTAGCGTTTGAACATGTAGTTCAACTTGTAAGCAGTTTTCATGATATATTGTCTACTGTAATATAAGCACTGTAAGGACCTGTTTTAGTAAAGATTGCATTGAAAAACATTGAGTGCTCACTGTAACACTTGTGAATAGTTTCACAAGTTAAAAAGAAAATTGGCCACACATCTTTGTAGATAACTGTGATAGCTGGACATTTTCATGACTTCACACTTACATGTAATTTTATGGTCACCATGGCACAGAATGTATGGACATCATCAATTGTGGTATTCATGATCCCCAAAGCTGCAAAATTGAATGCAAGTGCCCTCTGAATAGCCCAGAATAAGAAGAGAAAGGACCCAAACTGGCCAAGTGGGGCTAGTAAAACACTCTTTGCTAATTTTGTTAAGTTGCAATCTAAACTTTCACACACAGTTTCAAAAAGCAATGATCACTAGGCTTGAGGAATAAAACCACATGCCAATAAAATACCAAATAACAACAATGTATTTATTTCAAGAAATATAAAGTTTACAATTTTATGTCCTGTAAATAGCTATGAGGCTAATCTAGGCAGGACAATACTTTAAATAAAGACGTTATTAAATTACATAAGAAAAAAGAAAAGAAAAGAAATACAAAAACATACAGAAAGAAACACCTTACATATAAATTCACGTACAGGGGATTTTGTTATTTGAAAAGGACTAAAATTACAAAATTAGATATGTTGAGAGTCTTAACAGAAAGTGGAATTGAATTCCAGATAGGCCCACCAATTCTAGTAAAAGATTTTTTCATTTTTTCAGTTCTAGAGAATTTGACAGAGAAACATTTTTTTGCAGATAATCGCGTATTATAATGATGTTTTGTATTGATTTCCGTAAACTTATTGAGAAGACTTTGAGGAGCTGTCTTAGCATGAACGTTCCGATCTACTAATTTTGTGACAGATGAAGTCGATATGATGTTTCCATGATAGTTCAGAATCAATCATTATACCCAAATATTTACTGGAGTATTTAAAGTTGGATTAAAAATCTCAAATTGAGGAATGAAAGGTATTCTTTTTTGGCGCGGACGAAAAATGACATAATTAGACTTTTTGACGTTGAGCGTTAGATTGTTAGCATTAAGCCATTCACTTACTTTCTCAAGCTCATTGTTGACAGTCAAGAGTACGTAGGTTGTCATTTGCATAGGTTAGACTTGTATCATCTGCGAAAAGATAAAAAGTAAATTCCTTGGAAGATTTATGGATGTCATTGATATATAACAAAAATAACAAGGGTCCAAGTACAGAGCCTTGAGGCATTCCACATACGATCGTTTCAGTTTCAGATATGCATTTGTCTATTTCAATCGACTGTCGGCGATCTGAAAGATATGATCTAAACCAAGAATTTATAACTCCTCTTATCCCATAGTGTTTAAGTTTTGTCAAAAGAATCTCATGGTTAACAGTATCAAATGCTTTCTTAAGATCTATAAAAATTCCACATGAGTACTTTCTATTGTCCATATTAGAATGTATGGTGTTCACAATATCACGAATCGCGTGCTGGGTACTATGTTTATTGTGAAAGCCACATTGTAAATCATAAAGAATGTCATTCTTTGTCTATAAACTTTATCAGTCCACGATGTAAAAGTTTCTCAAATAAACTATTATAAATTGATAACAAAGAAATTGGCCGATACTGGTTTCAGGTAGCAAATGCTAGTTCAGCTGTATGCAAACACACAAACAACCATAGCTGATGAAAGAAAGGATGACCACTGACTGACAACAAGAGAAAGAGCTCCTTGCTGTTATAATAAACTATGTTAAATTTCATTTAACTCCAATTAAAATGTACAAAAATACCCCTGCTGTTGATGAGAAATATTCCTTTATCAGGATGTTAAAAGTCACATCTAAGGACTTTGAAGTTACCAGATTTTCTTGGGCATTATACCCCAGACCTGCTAGAAGGAGGGGACTAACAGCCCTCTTGTTAACAGAGTCAGTTACTCAGCCTATATTCGAACTTGCTAGCAACTTTTTGAAACCCCTAATTTTATCAGAGAATTTACAGTGTATCTTCCTTATTAAACCATCCTTTCCTTTTTTCACCTCTTGACAGTCCCTGGAAAGTACGCGGCGTATGTTACAATTGGCAGAAGAGGTAAGAGTTAAGCCTGGTTCAGATGCCGAACTTTTCATGAGCCAAACCTTATTCGAATAAAGGCCGACCCAAATTTCTTAGACTGGCTGAATTGATTCAGAGGCCGATCTTAACTGCAGCTGAACAAAGTTTAAAAGGCGAAAAATGCTCCTTTTGATCAAACTGCTTACAAAATATTTGATTTAGATGCCAAACTTTTCTTGTACTTAATTCGATGCATTAGGTTCAGCTCGTGAATCGTTCGGCGTCTGAACTGGGCCTTAGTACAACTCAACCCTCAGTTAGACACCCTTCTAAACTCTTGCTCATTTACATGTACAGCTGCTATGGAGACTTTATTCCTTTTAAGGTGTAGACCCCCCTGGAGGGGCACTCAAGGGAAGTTTAATGCTCCTTTTAAAGCTTCTATTCCAAAAAAAAACCCTGCTCAAGACTCAAGATGCAGGAAAACCATATCCTGTACATACATTGTACCATCTCAGCTAAATAAGGCCTCTGTTGCAAGGCCACATGCATGCACTGTGAGTTTTAAGATAATCTGAGATGCTTAAGTTAAAAGAATTATACCCACTGAGAATAATTATGTCTGGCTGGCTGTCAAAGTGGGACTGGAACCTGAAACTGAGAGAGTGAGGTTGTGATGCATCAACCACTTGGCCATTTTGCCTCCCATAAGTTATTGCCTGATTGTTTTTGGGAAAACTATGGGAAACTTAACGCCCTACAGGTGTGGTTTACAAAGAATTCAGATGTCGTTTTAAAGGTCAAATGAACCAAAAAATTGAAATATTTTCTTTTGTCGCTTTACCTTCGTCAAACACTAAAAAGAACCATCCTAAGTGAGATTTGGGTAAAGATTTTTCTTCCCAAGCCTTTATAGAAAGATAAAAGATCAAAATCCGAGCATTTCCGAAGACTCCACGAAAACGTTTCTGAAATGGCCGCGTGATAGACTGGAGACTACGTGACGTCAATGTTGGTCTTTCAGGGCGGAAAAACGTTCTGCGCAAGCTTCTGCGCATCCCTTATCGCCTGCGTTTGTTTTTCTCGTTCTGTGAGAGTTCTAACTGAGACTGAATGAAATACACGAGGTGCAAACGTTTGGTCCTTGTAGAGGCTTTTTTTTTTGGCTTTTGTTGTTGTTGTTGTTTTTTCGTCACTTGAAAATTACTTTGGATTCAGAACAACCAATGTTAGAGTAAAAACAGATCATTCCGTCAGTCTGAGGAGGAATAAAACGTTTTGAACATTTCAAAAGAGGTTTGTATTTTTCTGATAATTGTGCATTCGATCTGTGAATTGATTTTGTGTCCAGTGCTTCGCCTTCTTTCGCCGGGCTGAATTAAAACCCGCTTGTATTCTGTTATTAGTAGTTACGGTTAGTTTTTTTACATTCCCAGATTCATTTTATTTAAAGTGGCGTCTATGGTCCTTAAAGTGGCCTCAGTAGGTAATTAAATCATGTACATAACTGGAGAGAAGTTTTTGCAATAATGTAACTTCAACTTTGTTTGAAGGAAATCTTACTGGGTTTTTGAGAAGTGTTATGCATGTTCAACTTGACAACACAAAGCAAACTTTATCGGCGCGAAACGATCGAGTTTAAAAAAACTGTAGTTCAGCTTTGAAACCGATTTTGGGGAAGATTTTACTAGATAAAGATTAACTCTTTTACTGCCCACATATCAACGCCAAAACTTCTACATGGAGGATTTTGTTTATATTTTAGTGTTCTGCGAAGCACAAGTGTCGGATCGAGCGTGGGTTTTAAATATCAGCTCGAGTGCGACAAAGTTCAATGACAACACAATGTGGGCAGGCGTGAATTTCTTTGGGCAAATGACTATACAAAGATATTTTGTTTTTGTGTCCACAGTGGAGCTCCGGACCTTATATATCCAGAAACTTCCTTATATGAACACATTTTGTGAATACATCTTGAAAAAAATCGGACCTACGCACGCATATTTCCAGTACAGCGCAAGGAAATTAATGCCGTCGTTAAAGTCCGTTTTACTATGGTGTAAAATAATAGAAAATTAAATAATAAGGTTATAACCACAGCTTGCAACTTTTGAAGACAAATTGCTTGTTCTTTCTAGGTTTATAGCCGCACAAACCACCACAATTCTGCGCCAAGTCGACTCGAAAAACACTTTTTCGAATTTCCCGCTTTTTTTCACCTGACCAACATTGACGTCACAAGCTGTTTTTACCGACAATTTTTCCGACCGCTCTACGAAGATAAGGGCCAAAAAATAACAATTTTTAATTGCGAATATCTCGGAGATAATTGCTTCAATTGAGCTGAAACTTCATAGTATGTTTATTCGGTTCATATTAAACATATTTCACTAGAATTGAACGAAAATAAAAAATGTCGAATTTTTGGTTCATTTGACCTTTAAAGCAAAAACAGAAGTATGCAGAAAACAAGCAAGAACTTAGGGTTGCTTGTTTGCTGTTGTTGTTCCTGGCTACTGTTTGTTGATATTCCTCTTTCACTGTTTTTGTCCAGAGCCAGGAAGTCGGAATCAAAACGTTGGTGGCACTGGATGAACAAGGTGAACAGTTAGACAGGGTGGAAGAAAACTTGGATCAGATCAATGCTGACATGAAAGAAGCAGAAAGGAATTTGACAGCCCTAGAAAAGTGCTGTGGTTTGTGTGTCTGTCCTTGGAGAAGGTGATTAATTTCTTATTAAAAGTTGATCTGATTGTGAACCCAAAACTGACGAATCTTCCATTAAGTAGCAGGTACAATGTGCAGGTCACAGGTCAGAGTAAATTCACTTATCATAGACTTTATTACTTTACATTGTATTGTCAGTATAGTGCTGATGAATTATTGTTTCATTTCTGGTTACATTGTGTATGACATTATGCATACGGTGGAAGCTCTCATAAACAGACACCGTCAGGACGAGGCTGCTTCTAAGAATATTTCTCGTATGTGGCCACTGGAAGTGTAAGGGTTAGATGGCAGCTTTCAGGAGCTTTCCCATCTATATACAAATATATACTGAGAATGCAATAAGAGGGAAAAAATGTTTATTTGTTTTTAGCTTTACTGTTCTAGCCTGTGTGCAGACGTCTCCCCCTACCTCAGAAACAGTCAGTCTCTTCTCCCGGGCCCGGTTCTTCGAAAGATGGTTAAGTTTAAACCAGGATTAAGCAAAAATTTCAATCACGGTTTTCTCGTCTAAGAACGTGCAACTTGAGGTTACAAAATACTGTTGACCCTTAAACTACGAGATACAGTAATGATAACACAAAATGGTGCACGTGAACAAAACTCTGAAACCGATGTATATTCAGTGTGATAAACAGTGACATGAGAAAGAAATACAAGATTCGGAGGGGAAATTGAGAATTTGTTGTCCACTTTATATGAGAGCTTTAAAAGAAAGCTAACATCTAACTCATAAAGCCTGAAATTGTCCGCAGCTGCCTACATAAATGGGTTTTGTGATGGCGACCGTGAGTAGAGCTGTCTACTTACGAGAGTGCCCCTTAAAGAACAGAACTTCCACTGTAAAAGAACTGATTGTAGAATAATTGTTGGCAGTTTTGTGTAACAGTGCATGTACACTTACATGAACTTTCTTTTCTTTGGTTTTGTTGTGGTTGTGTACATTTTAATGACTAGTTGGCATTAGATTGAGTCATCATAATTTATGGCATGGTCAATTCCTGTCATAATTTGGAAGATTATAATATGATAACTTTATCTGAACTGTACCATTGAAAACTCGCTCTGAGCCTTTGTGCTTGTTGAAGAGTTTATTTCTATTCATACAGAAGCCTCCCAATCTCATGGTTTGCAGACTTACATGTATGAACAGGACTAGTTTAGTACAATGAATACAGTGTATTTTGTGGCAGTCACTTGTTAACTTTGAAAAAAAAGAGGGAAAGATAAAACAAGAACCATATTACTACTAATAGTACTAAAATTGTTGTTTACATTTCTGCTTAATTATCGCCATTTTTTGTATAATATGACCGTTAAACCTTGCCGCATACTTTTCAATTTTTTCCGCATCCATATCACATCCCATGTAACTTTGCTGAAACTGGTAACATTGTTCCTGATTTTTTTTATTAAAAGAGAACTCTTAAAGAGAGCAATGAAAAGCTCGAAAACCTCAACTTCTGAAAGTATGCTTTTTAATCTTGGTTGATGCCTTGAACAACATGGGCTAACTTTCATTTTAAGCGATAGTAAATTAGTTCAGGAGGACAGATAGAAATACTTCCAGTAATACTTGGTAAAATTTTCTGGTTTGAGGCCACCTGCCGTGGCCAGCATAGACAGTCCACCTTTGTTCCATCCACATTTGAAATATACTGTATATACCTCGGGAAACATTGAGATTCTAGGGAAACAAAATTGACTTTTTTCCTCGGGACCAGTCGTTAAGTGTTTATTACTAAATTTCAATGTCTTAGTCATCTTTCACTCGTCTACCCATAACCTGAGTGTATTTACCATTTTTATATTCCCCATATTACACCTTGTTTTAACTCTCCCAAATTTTGCGTTCGCATTGTCTTCAATTTCTCTTGGGACGACTGTAATACCCAGAAGTATTTGAAAACCATTGTAATGCAAAATTTGGGAAGTATTAAAACAAGGTGTATTTTGGTAGTGTGAAAAATGATAGTACAAAGTTTGTTAACCCAGCCATAAATAACGTGACTTTAGTTTATGAGTATATATAGTGACTATTCTAAGGTATTTGTTGTGCACTTTTAGGCGAAAAAATTTTGAAAAGACAGAGAACTACAAGAGAGCCTTTAAGAGTAATGATGATGGGGTTGTTTCAAGACAGCCTGGTAAGCCCCTTTTTAACAAGTTTATTACTTAACATAATAAAATGGGTCGGAGCATAAACACCTAAGTCTCTTTTTCACCCTTATAAACGGCCTTTATTTTCACCACCGAATTCAGTACGATATAGTACCTCACCACAAACATTGACTCAGGTTGATGGATTGATTGATTGACCCTTTTTGGTGTAATCAATATTTTTGGCCTCATCACAGCCGCGCTGAACTCCGAGTCCGTAGATTGCGTCGTTTTAGTTTCAACAAAATCTGTACACAGTACCTGAAATTGCTCTTCCTTTTCCGTCTTGTGGGTTCTCCTTTGCGTGGTTATTTCCTCTTTCCACCAGTTGCATTTGAAACTTAGGAGGCTTTGGTAACGAGCTCGCAGGCAAACGGCGCTAAAATCTAAAGATGCATTGAAATATCGCAAAGTAAGAGCTCTTCCCAATGACCTTGGGCAGCAATTCGAAAGGCCGTCAAATTTTCTTGTTCCCGTTATCTTTCTCCTGGTTTTCTCCTGGACTTGTTTTTGCGGGATACATGTATGCAGTTGTGGCGCACAATGTGTTCGGCATTTCCCACGATTTCATGGGAGCTCAGAAGGGCTTAAGATGGCAACTAGCAGTATGGAGAGTGGCATAAAAGATAAGGTTGGACAGGGGTTTATGACCTCTTTGGTTATGCATTTTCCATAAAATCGTTGTAAAGCGCTTGTAAAATCGGTGTAAAGCAATTGGTTAATTGTAGAGACAACTTTAGTAGCCATTTAGCAGAGGGTTTCTCTGGCATAGGTGAATGCGCAGGAATGTAATTAATTTAATTGATTTGATTTAATTTTAAAGAATTTGTATAGCGCTAGGACTATAAAATATTCAAAAGAGCTTTACGTTAAGTTGTAATAAAAAAATAATAATGAAATTCCTAAAAAGCTAGTAAAAATAATAATAATAACAATAAAATTCCATGCTAAGCTAAAAACTAAAACAAGAAAGTCTAAAATTCAATACACTCAGAGCTATTCTAATAAACTACAAGCTGTTCTAAAAAGAAATGTTTTAAAATGCTTTTAAGGAATAGTAAGAAATGATATTTTTCAGGATATCCTGTCATACAAATACCCTTACTTTTCTCCTTTTGTGTAGCAGACGTCTTAACTTCTCTCACCGAAGTCTGCTAGTTGCATGATCGCGTGGTTGTAACCCAATTCGATTATAATTTCTGTCACAAATATATTGCGCACGACGAGATCTCAGGTGCACTTCCTTTTTTTCCTCTTTTCTCTCTGGCTACTTCACATACAAATACACAAACTGTTCGCGGTACGCCCACACCAAAAAAAGAAATAAGCCGTTTTCGGAATGGGCTGGTCCGCGAACTCAAGGTTAATGAAAGGAAATTATTTAGACATTCAAAGACATTAATGCTGAAATAGACGAAATCAGATTTTAGAAATTCAAGGTAACACAAGTTACTTGAGAAACGTTTGGGACAGAAATGTGTATAGATTTCGGGAACTGGAGATGACTGCAGCAAGAATGATTCGAAAGAGGTGCGGTTGTGTGCGTTGCGTGTAGACGAAGCGATAGATTGTCAACAAGGGGAAGCCAAACGCAGTCACCGTGGTTTCTTAACCGTTGCGATAGGCATCATTATCATTGTTCTTCTTTTAGTTTTGTTTGGAAGAGTAGGTGTTTTTATACTTTTTTTGTATTGCATGTTTTTCTTTCTCGTGTAGAATGTTCACGTACAGTCCCCTATTTATCCGTCATATCGTCGAGATATAGCGTGACTTACCGTTAATTACGGCCATCTTGATTAACCGTTCTCCGCCCCCTAATATAAGTAGATTTGACACTCATCTAAGATGGCAGCCGTTCACGCAAAGTCTTCGATCTCGTCGGTCTTACGGAGAAATAGGGGAATGTGAACAGTCTATTTTTCATGTAATAATTCGTGTTGCGATGTTGTACATGAATTATCCTTGGTGTGGAGATTGTGCATTTTCAGCAAGTTTTGTAAGGGAGTGAACCGGTTATCGATATTGAACATTTTTATCGATTATAATTGATGATTTGCACAGCACCACCTAGGTACCAGAGGTTTTTTCTCGCGTGCGACGAGGAGCTTCGTTTCGTCGGCCACAGGCCGACACGTGTTCGGCCGAAGGCCGAAGACACGAGCGGCCAAGCCGCGAGAAAAAACCTCTGGCGCAGAGCGCCTTGATTTACCGTGGACCTTGATCTTGTCTCTAATCTGTCAATCAAAGCCGCGGTCGCGAGACTGTTTACTAAGCTAATAGGCCACTTGCACGATGGCGTCATTTTACTACTACAACCAGAATCCTTCTGGGTTTTGCTTTCTTGTGCAAATTAGGGCTTTTGGTATTTAATCCTCGCTGGGATTACCAAATTTAGATATAAAAGGAAAAGCGTAAGGGATTCTGGTCCTAGTAGTAAAATGACGCCATCGTGCAAATGGCCTATTCAAAAGTAATTATCTAGGAGGAACGACGTGCTCTAGCTCAAAGAGTCACATTATCTTTAGAAAAGCAAGGTGTAGTTTAAAAATCATTGCTATAATCTTGTCACTGTGCAGTTCTCCATAATTTATGTAGCTTCAGTTTAAGCTGCAATCCACTCTTCGAGATTTGGATCTAAAAATCACTAAAGGAGAATTTAACATCCTGCAAAAATTACTAACGAGCTGGGCCCAGCGTGACAAAACATCGCAGGAAACCTTGACATTCACGGACAAAAGTAAAACGCTTTAAGTTATTCAGATCCAGGAGGCAATTGGAGAAAATTAAACAACTTAAAAGTTTACTTTCACTTTGCCTCAAGAAAGAAGTTTACGTTTTAAAAGAATACAAAGAGAATGTTCTCCACTCGCATCAGAGGGCGAATAATGCCGACCAGAAATAAACCGCAGAAAATCAATGCGTGTCACGACCTCTCAGTATGAAACAGCGGTAACTAATGCACATTTGCTCAGTCATAATCTACCCGCTGGAGAAAAAATGCATTGGAACAAGCAGCATTATGGCACGAGGTAAATGTCGTGTGGTGCCCACCGACTCCATATGGCAGGTAGTAACTGGAACAGCAGTGATTTTCCATCTAGCCGGTGGCAAAAGACCACCAGAATGTCTGTCCTTTGATTATAATTTACAATGCTCTCTCTTAGTTTCGCACTTATTTCCTCCACACCATCGAATGTTCCTGTGACTTCGGCTATTTGCCTTATCTAAATCTTCCGTACATACAGGCATCTGATATTTCCAATTCTAAACGTACGTGATGTGTGCTTGGATTGTTTGGATTTGATCTACATCAGCTTCAAACCACCCGCGTCCCGATCACGCGCCTATTGTGGTTGTAATCCAATCAGAACATTTGAAACATTCGATATCTCCAAGGAACCAATCGGCAAAACATCCAGATTCTGGATGTTTTGGTATAAGCGGGGTTGTAATTGGC